CACTGGTATATTTATGTTTATTTAGCAAGAAGGGTGTGGGGGGTGGGGGGGGGGGTGCTTGGCGGGGGGGGGGGGGAATGGTGGTGAAGCAAGGATTGCTCGTTTGTCCTCTCTAGCATCAATCAACAATTTTGAAAAAAATCTATTTTCTCCTGCTTAAAAAATAGTCTCTGTGCCTCTCCATGCTTGTATCTATTTGATCTGCATTTTTTTAATTGATGATATCCTTGCACACACAACACTCACAGTGAAGATGCCTCCCTTGGGACCCCATGGGCTCACTCCTTCACCCCCCTTTTTAAAAAGATCTCTTTGATATAAAAAGAAAGGGTTTCTATATCAAACATGCTGCCTTCCTGCAAAACCATCTTAGGCTTTAGCATCCTATTTATTGTGGTAATGCTTTGGGGTTCCACAGGGCGATAGGCTATGAATTCCCTCCCTCCCCATCCCACAAAAACTCCAGCCCTGCCTTCAGCCTGATGCATTATTACCCACCTTGAACCTCTAAAATGCTACATTTGCCATCGCCCCTGGTCTATGGCTTAAGAGGCAAACCAACCTGAGCAGATTCAAATCACTCAGCACACCTAAGATGTTGGTTCAGGAGCTGAGTGCGAGGGGAAGTGCAATTCAGCGGACCTTTTTCGGCTTTGCACATTGCCTCTGAATGGCTCAGTGAACGCCACTTCAAACATACCATGGCTTAACGCCCAAGTTTAGCACAGGAGACTCGCGCATTGCTTAACTGCCACCCGCTTGCCCCAGCGGGCAAAGCTGCCCCAACAGCCTGTTCCACCGAGAGCTGGGCTGCAGAGATGCACAATTATCCTTTTATGCAACAAGGCAACTCACACGCAGGATTTGTGCATCGATGTTGTGAGCCGGGGTGCCCATCGCAGCTAAAAGTCAGATCCCAGAACTGACAGTGGAAGAGAAGAGGTTGGTGCCTCTTGGCTGAAAGCATGGCTGCGTGTGCGTGTAAGGCTATTAGGAGCCCAACAGCAAAACCCCAAGAAACAGGAGCATTGTCTCTGTTTCACATTTGGGCGTTTTAGCTGATATGGAGCCCCAACTCTATCAGTCTTGGTCGTTAACATTTCAGAAGATGGTGTTCGTTGCCGCAGAAGAGGGACATTGCTCTGTTCTCAGCTTCCTCCTTGGAGGAACCAAAATCAGGCTGTTGCTGCTTTGCCCCCAACTCCAGCGTGTGCAGAAGAGGGAGATGGATCGGGCTCAAACACACAAAAAAGAGGAGGGGGGGGTGGGAGACCCTGAGTCAGTCTACAGAGAAGCTCCAACCTCAGAGTAGACTTGCATTTCGGAAAGATACTTTGGGCCCAGTGCTGCAAAAAAGTTTGCGGCTGGAAACAGGGTGTTGCCTCCTGTTTTAATGACAAACCCTGAGACCTTCAGGACACCCATAACTCGCCTTCGAGGCTGGCTGCTGTAGTTTCAAGAATCGCTGCGAGCAGACCTCCGGATTCATGCTCTGAAGCTGGTCCTCCTTGTGATGTCACAGCGTCCCAGCCAGGCCCGTCCACCCTTGCCTGGACTCACCAGGCTACCAACCAAGTGATGCCCAAATCATGGCAAGGAGGGGGAGAAGAGGAGAAGACCGTGCAGGGGAAGGGGGATGTTAATCCTGGCTCCTCTCAAAACGCTAAACCCACGACAGCAAGTCGTAATTCTGCTGACGTGACAAGGTGGAGCGTACGCCGTCTATGGCTTAACGTGACAGCCTAGCTTGTACAAGGAGCCCAAAACAGCAGCTGGGTTCCACCATGCAGCCTAGGCTATCAGTGAAAGTAAAAAGATCTCTGAAGAGCAACAAACCTGCACATATTACTAGGTGTAAAAACACGTCCAACCCCTAACTCAGGAGGCTGCCAGCGATGAACGGTGTGGGCACTTTGTACAGCGCTAGACGGATTCCATTCCTGGTTGGTCATTTTTTTAAATGCACACGGCATTACTGAATATCCAGGACCCCCCACCCACCCTCCCCCCAATTTTTATTCCAGATCACAGTGCATCATAAGGAATAGCCTGATTTTTCCCCCTACACCAATACTTATTACGGTAATCATATTTTGCGCACTCTTACAGAACAGGCCCAGGCACTCTTGGAGGTCAGGTTTTAAAGTGCAAAAGATTCTGTCAATAAATAGTGCCCCCCTGGCTTTTTCAGAAACGGCTTCCGTTTGCCAAAGCCTTTCCGCTGAAGACAGCCGGTTCTGCCCCCCTCCACCCGGCCCAACTTTTGAAGGGAGCAAGGGGACCAGGTGGGGAGAAGACAGACTTGAACCCCAAAACAAACATACCAAGTGGGGGATACAGTCGAAAAACGGCAGAGGTTCTATTCCGGCAAGCCCTGTTTTCAGGAGTTCGGCAGTTTGTAATCCAAGTCATCTGAAGCAGGCCAGGTTCGGGGAGGGTCGATCTGTGGGAGGCCAGTGATTCCCTTAATTGTGGCACAAGTCGCCATCCTCTTGAAGGGCTGTCTGTGGGGGATATGCTTGGTGAAAACAGTTTGGTTTCTGCAGTTCTGTTTCTGTTGCATGCAACTTTGGGGGTTTTGCTTTTGCTCCACCTATTCATGCACAGAGTGGAAAAAGGAATTGCAACCCGACGAATCACAACTCTGGTTGGAAGTACATCCACTATCGCCCGCCTTCCACCCCTCACGTCCCTGCTGGATCCCAGTAATGCAGGCGGGACTGGAAGAGGAACCTGCATTTCCCCTGGAGAATATGCAGTCAACCTGCTTTTTGGGTTACATGGTACCCTACAACGATCCTTCTGTGCTCTTGCAGCACCAGGTTCAATTTTGCAACGCACCCCTCTATCTTGTGGCATTCTTCACCCCTCCGTTTCTTCCTGGTATGCCCGATGCTGAAATGCCAGCAGTTGGCCACCTCTGATCTCCTCATTGATCGGGGCTCGACTGAGGCTGTGTGTGAGGCACTGAGCGGTTCTCTGCCGTCACCACGGCTCTGCCGCCGACGTGGCCTCCAATCAGCAGAGAGACGGCGCCTTCCACGTGGCCAGTAGCTGCCAGAGCTATCACAGACTCTTCTGTTGGGAAGCCCATCCTCTGCAGTTGCTGGAGCCTAAGAAGGGGGCAAAGAGAAGGAGGCAGCATCGGTGTCAGAGGCCAGACAGGCAGATTGCAACCTCTTCCCAGGGTAGCGGAGAGCGCCATAGGGGACGGATGGGTGATGGGTCGCTCCTGGTCTTCCATCTTCTGGCAGGCAAGGTGCAGAGACCCGCCAGCAGGTGGATCTGCCGATGCTCAACAAAGGCAGTGTAACTGTGATGGAGTGGAATTGTGAAGACCAGGCTCAGGGAGATAAACATTTTCTTAGCTCGCCAGAACAGCGTGGGAAGAACAAGAGG